TTGGATAGTTGGGCTGTTGTTGGCTGTGAATGATGCACTTCCTTTCTTTTGGTTCTTTACTTCCTGTTCCTGTTGGCAGTTGGTGGAATGTTCGAGGGATTTGAAACCCTGTGTAACAAGGCTGCAATAAGAAGATCCTGTTATATATGTATTAATAAAGTGACTACTTTGTTATACAGGAATTATTGGCTTATTTGTACAATACATCACAGCGGCGGCGAGGCTGTAGAACCTAAACTGACATGGCAGCCATTGGCACTATAAAGGACTTTGATCCTGACTCGGATTTATGGGCCTCTTGGGTTGAAAGGCTTGAACAATATTTCACAGCTAATGATATTCCTGACAATAAACAGGTCGCTGTTTTCCTAACAGTTATAGGAGCCAGAATGTATGATACGCTAAGAAACCTCTTACACCCAGAGAAACCTGCCAGCAAGCCATTGGCAAGCCTGATTACTCTGTTAACTAGCCATTTCCAACCAAAACCACTAGAGATAGCAGAGAGATTTAAATTCTATAAAAGAAGACAAGAACCTGGTGAATCAGTTTCCGCATATGCCATTGCGTTACGGAAACTCGCCAGCACCTGCTGTTTTGGGGACTACCTGCACACTGCTCTGCGAGACCAGTTTGTAATGGGCATTGCAAGTGATACAGTGCTAAGGGGACTGCTTACAGAAGAAGATTTAACATTTACAAAGGCAATGAACATGGCAAGCATTATAGAACAAGCCTCTAAGGATGCTAATCTATTACACAGCAGACTGGACAATACACAGGAGGCAGAGCTAGAAGTTTTAAAATTAGACGCTAGAGCGCGGAGTATACCACAGGGAAAGAAACTTTCAAAACAGGAACATTCACATTACAAATGTTATCGCTGCGGAGCTGCTACACATGTTGCAACTACATGCAGATTCAAGGATGCCAAGTGTCATGCTTGTGGTAAAATGGACCACCTACAAAGAGTGTGTAAATCCACAGCAGAGAGAGGCAGTAATCGCTTGAGAGACAGAGCAAAGAATGCCTATAGAGTACAAATGCAGGAGTCTTCTGAGGATTCGGATGAACAATTTCCTGTCCGAAATGTAAAAAATATAAAATAGGTTCTAATCTGGCTGCATTCACAGTTCAGGTTGTTGTAAATGGAAAGGAACTGACTATGGATTTGGACACATTTGCAGCTGTATCAGTGATTTCTTTGACAGACTGGAAACGCCTTAAAATACATAGGCCAATAATTCAGACAACAGCGAGACTGCAGACATATTTTAAAGAGCTGTTAATACCAGTGGGTTGTGTGACAGTCACAGTTACATTCAACAAGTGTAAGAAGAAACTACCTCTCTATATCTTAGAGAATGGAGGACCTCCACTTTTTGGTAGGGAGTGGATAAGGGCTCTCGGGATGCCTCAAGTGCATAAGTATCTATGTCATGTGTTGAATAAAAATCAGACCAGACTTGACTGGATTAGGGAATTACAGGAAAAGTATGCACCAGTGTTTGATGGCCAATTAGGGAGTGTAAAGGGACAACACGTTTCCTTAGAATTAAAGGAAGGAGCAACACAGAATTTTTTTAAAGCAAGAAGTGTGCCTTTTGCACACTGGAGTGGAGGCAGAATTGAGGAGATTAGAGGAGCTGAATATCATCTCCCGGATTCACAATAGTGAGTGGGCTTTGCCCATTGTTCCTGTGAGAAAACAAAATGGGGAGATACGGATTTGTGGGGATTTCCGCATGGCTCTTAACACACAGCTTTAAAATAGATAAGTATCCCCTTCCTAGGGTAGATGATATTTTTGCATCATTGGCAGGTGGCCAGCAATTCACCAAAATTGACTTGAAAAATGCATACCTACAGTTATCTGTACATCCAGATTCTCAACCACTACTTACGATTAATTCCCATCGGGGGCTGTTCAGGTATAACCGTATGGTTTTTGGCATTTCACCTGCACCAGCTGTCTGGCAGCAAACAATGGACAAGCTGTTAGCTGGAATTCCTGGGACACAGTGCCTGTTAGATGACATGCTGGTGACGGGTAAATCAGAGGAGGAACATAAACAGAATGTAGAGGCAGTTTTGCAAAGACTTATGAAATATGGATTGAAAGTGAATTTGGATAAATGCCAATTCATGCAGGATCATCTTGAATTTTGTGCTCATGTAATTGACAAACATGGGCTGCATACAACAGATGAGAAGATCAAGGCATTACAGGATGCTCCAATTACACAAAATGTGACACAACTAAGGTCCTAGCTTAGTCTGTTAAATTATTACATCCGTTTTATTGCCAAATTTAGCTCATGTCCTGTACCCTTTACATCGTCTTCTAGAGAGTAAACGACAATGGCGCTGGACAGTAGAATGTGCTTCAGCTTTCCATAAGTCAAAAGAACTAGCGCGTAGTTCACGTCTTTTAGTACACTACGACTTGGAAAAGCCTGTTTCCATTGCTTGTGGTGCATCACCTTATGGACTGGGAGCAGTTCTGTCTCATTCCATGGCTGATGGGACAGACAGGCCAGTGGCTTTTGCCTCTAGATCGCTCACAGCTGCAGAAAAAAACTATTCTCAAATAGATAAAGAGGCTCTGGCAATAGTATGGGCAGTAAGGAAATTCCATCTTTATATATATGGTCGACCCTTCACACTGCTTACGGACCATAAACCTTTATTGACAATTTTTAACCCACAGAAAAGTATTTCAATCACGACAGCAGCAAGACTTCGGAGGTATGCCTTAACTCTGGGGGCTTATCAGTATCAGATACAATATCGTCCAAACACTCTGCATTCTAATGTGGATGCATTCTCTAGACTTCCATTGAAAATGGATTCACAATTAACTACCACAGAAAGATCTACAATATATTTTAGTGAGGTGATAACAGCCAGAGAAATTGCACAGGAGACAACCAAGGACTCTTTGCTGAGGGAAATACTTATTTTTGTACACAAGGGTTGGCCACTAAAGACTCCAATACATCTCAAGTCATTCCAAACAAGAGCTCAGGAGTTATCAATTTGAGATGGCTGCTTAGTCTGGGGAGAAATGGTGGTTATTCCTTTTGTGTTACAACAACAGATTCTTGAAATTTTACATGCCGGTCATCCTGGCATAGTCCGCATGAAGCAGAAGGCAAGAGGTCATGTATGGTGGACAACCATTGATGCGGATATTGCCCGTTATGTTTCAGGTTGCACTGGTTGTGCACAAGCACAGCGTGACTTGCCACATGGTGCCGTACAACCTTGGACCTGGCCTCTATCACCATGGCAGAGAATTCACATAGACTTTGTTGAACCAGTGGAAAATAAAATGTATCTGATTGTGGTAGATGCACATTCTAAATGGCCAGAAGTTCTATTCATGTCGCAGACCACTGCAAAAGCTACTGTTAAAGCATTACAGAAACTATTTGCAACATTTGGCTTGCCCAGAGTGCTTGTTTCAGATAATGGACCACAGTTTGTTTCTGGACAATTTCAGGCTTTTCTCAAGGAAAACGGTATTCGGTATCATCGTACAGCACCGTATTATCCTGCTACTAATGGTCAAGCAGAACATTTTGTTCAAACGTTAAGGGGATTTCTGAAAAGTCTGAAAGCAGAAGAAAAGAGACCTGAACATCATTTGTCTGAATTCCTTCTACAGTATCCAACCACTGGACAACCCCCAGCATGCCTTATGTTAGGCCGTGAATTCAGGACAAAGTTGGATCTACTAAAACCAGAGATTCAACAAAGGATCATCCAGCAACAATCGAAGATGCAAGTCGGAAAAGCAGGCTGTTGTTACCAGAGAGGGGATTCTGTTTGGATGTGTGTATAACATCAGGAGAATTATTGGAAAGAAGCAATGATAAAGGAAGTTCTGGGGCCGACTCACTATAAAACTTTAACCTCTGATGGGTGTTACACACGGAGACATACAAATCAACTTCGACCATGTATAACAGACAACCTATCAAAGTGGGTAGGGCCACTCATGCAACCAGACACTGATATCTGGCATGGAGTTTGGCATGATGACATTTCTGAAGTCTGCAATACACCTGGTACAGAGGCTCATGATGTAATAGGGGATGATTTGGAGGAAATACATCATGAAACTCAGGAACAAGAACTGCCAAGCTACAGTTCAAGTAACCATGAAGGCTGTGGTCATAAAAATATTGGCCATTCAGCAAGAGAGAGAAGGGCCACAAACCGCTGGCAACCAGAAGATCCATTAAGGGACTATGGCCGGAGAAGCTCCACAGTGAGAAGGCGGAAATGGTATCCTAGTAGGAGTAGAATAAACTGTCCTGAAAAAAAGATTGTAGATCTTGAAGATGATGGACAGAATGATGCAGATTAAGGACACATTTTTAAATAGTTATTTTATTATTGTTGACTTTTTACTATTTTGTTTTGTTTTGTTTTCTTTCTTTACTGAGAAAGGAAGGAGATGTGATGTATGGGCGGTTGGGCTGTGTATGAGTGTGTGAGTGTATGAGTGTATGTATTGTGATGTATGGGCAGTTGGGCTGTGTATGAGTGTCTGAGTGTATGAGTGTATGTATTGTGATGTATGGGCATTGGACAGTTGGGCTGTTGTTGGCTATGATGCACTTCCTTTCTTTTGGTTCTTTATTTCCTGTTCCTGTTGGCAGTTGGTGGAATGTTCGAGGGATTTGAAATGGCGGCTGCAGAAACCCTGTGTAACAATGCTGCAATATGAAGATCCTGTTATATATGTTGTAATAAAGTGACTACTTCGTTATACAGGAATTATTGGCTTATTTGTACAATACATCACATTTTCCAGCTCCTTTCTACTCCTTGCTGCCCTTTCCAGCTCCTTGCTGGCCCTTTCTGCTCCTTCTTCTACTTTACCTTTTTGCTCCTTCTGATTCTTTCTGCTCCTTTACCTTCCTGCTCCTTCTGTCCCTTTCTGCTCATTTCTATTCCTTTCTGCTCCTTTTCCTACTTTACCTTTGCGCCACAGACGTATTAGCCGCGAGGCAAGCAAGGCATTTGCCTTGGGCGGCATTTTCCAGGGGGCGGCAAAAAAAGCCACCCACAAATGCCCAGGGCAAATGTCCTGTTAGCCTTGCGCTAACTGACAATCCGGGCAGGCGGTCGGTCGGGGGGCACAGAATATGACATCATATTCTGGCTCCCAGCATCACTCTGCAGCGCACGAGGGAGCTGAGCAGACAGCTCAGGTGAAGTGCTTCCTCACCAGTGCCGCCCGACCGACCGCCTGACCGACCGCCTGACCGCCTGTCCGACCAGCAGCCACTGGACCCCCAGGGAAAAGGAGAAACCCCCCAGCATTCCCTAAGGTAAGGAGGCTGGGGTGGGTTGAATTTTTAAAAGAAAAAGTGTGTGTGTGTGTGTGTGTATGTTAGTGTGTGTCTGTTAGTGTGTGTGTGTCTGTGTGTGTCTGTTAGTGTGTGTGTCTGTTATTGTGTGTGTATGTTAGTGTGAGTGTGTGTCTGTGTGTCTGTTAGTGTGAGTGTGTGTTTGTGTGTGTCTGTGAGTGTGTGTGTCTGTTAGTGTGTGTGTGTCTGTTAGTGTGAGTGTGTGTCTGTGTGTGTGAGTGTGTGTCTGTGAGTGAAAGTGTGTCTGTCTGTTAGTGAGTGTGTGTTTGTAATTTAGTGTGTGTGTGTGTGTCTGTTAGTGAGTGTGTCTGAGTGTGTGTCTGTTAGTGAGTGAGTGTGTGACTGTTAGTGAGTGAGTGTGTGTGTGTCTGTTAGTGAGTGTGTGTGTGTCTGTTAGCTAGTGTATGCATATCTGTCAGTGAATGTGTGTGTGTGTATTTAGAAGGCGGGGAAGGGGGGAAGGGTGGGGTGGGGTTGCGGGGAGGGGGTAGGCTGGCGGGGGGGGGCGCCTGAGTTTTGTCCTGCCTAGGGCAGCACAAAACCAGGATACACCACTGCTTTGCGCTCCTTCTGCCCCTTCCAACTTCTTTCTACTCCTTGCTGCCCTTTCCAGCTCCTTGCTGGCCATTTCTGCTCCTTCTTCTACTTTACCTTTGTGCTCCTTCTGATTCTTCCTGATCCTTTACCTTTGTGCTCTTTATGTCCCTTCCTTCCCCTTTCTTCTC